TCTAATAACCAGCAGAGCTACTAAATGACTGTTCAGTAGGCAGCATGTACAATGTGGACACCCTGAGAAAAGAGTGATGTATGTCTAGACAGGATGGAGCTACACAGTGAGATTTTATCCCTGTACTCAGAATGGCATGCAACTTAAAACATATGAAATGTTAGTTTGGGGAACTTTGCATCTAATATTTTTGGGCCATGGCTTACCAAGAGTAAGTGAAATTGCAAAAGGCAATACTGGATGAGACGACTGTATATGTACTTGAATTGGTATTTGTCAAAAGTACAAAGGCACTTTGGTGGAGAAAGGATTGCCTTTTTCAATAAGCGCTGCTGTTAACTGGATAGGTATTTTTTAAAAATGAGTCCTGACCTGTATACTGCATGTCTTGTACAAAATTAAACCACAGACTTAGCTATAAAATTATAAAGCTTTTTATAAACAAGAACAAGAGATAAATCCTTGTGACTTGAAGTTGGACAAAGTATAAAGACTTGTTCTGTGAAAATACTAAGAGGATAGAAAAGCCAGGGAAAATGTCATTTGTAAATAATATATTTCACAAAGTTAAGTGTTGAGAACCTGTTTTTTGTGTTTTTTTTTTTTTTGTCTTTTAAAAAAGCTCTTCAATCTCTAGTTTAAAGAAACCAAAGAAATCCCAGCTACCCCAATAAAATAGGCAGAAGATTTGAAAATATGTTAGTAAAATGCAGAATACGGTTTGCCAATACACCAAATCTATTAAAGTGACTTAAGCCCAGACCAACCTTGTGGACATCGGGAGCTGGGAGGAAGTTGGTGAGTTGGACACTCAGCCATTGTTGGGGGAATGTAAAAGGGGATTGGCTCTTGTAGAAAACAGCTCTTGTAGTTAAACACATACTTAATCATTGAACCCAGTCCCTTTGTTGTTTTATGCTTTTTGTTTTGAGATAGGGTCTCACTTTTGCCTGGGCTTAGCTTCAAACTGCCTCGACTCCTTAGTAGTTAGGTTTACAAGTGTGGGCCACAGGTCCTGCTTAGAACAAAACAGTCTTATTCCCAGGTGTTTACTCAAGATGAAGAAAAATCTTTATACAAAGGCTATACAAAAGCTTTATATGAAACGTTATTTAAAAAATAAACTAGAAAAATAAACTATGGCACATCCCCATGGTATATTATTCAGCAATAAAAAAGACCAAGCAGGATACACACAGCCATTTGTTTACACACTTCCAGGCATCCTCCTGATTGAATTGCATTGTATAATATGTAGACAGACTCAAAGGCTACCCACTGATTCCATTTATATGGCATTCGGATAAGGATAAAATTATAGGGAAAGGATTCTTGCTGAGACTTAGGGTATGTGGATGTTTGATTTTACTGTGATAGCACAAGAAATCTGTATGGTGAATATTAGAGGCAAAGGGACTGCATTTGTCAAAACTCATTTGTACACCAGAAAGAACGGGTTTTACTCCATTTAAATTCTAACTTCGATTCTAAAAAAGTAAAATACTCAGAAGTCCTCTTTTTCCCCAATTATTAAATTTTACTTTGATCTATGCCGTGGAGCGATGCACAACTGCTATATCTGTGTAGTGGCAGTGCACAAGTTAGCAATCCTGCACTGTTCTTCCCAAATCCATATTCAAGACAGTCCTGGCTGGGACTCTGGTGTGGCCACAGGATTTGCACTGGAGAACCGGAAGATGCTGCAGATCAAGGCTTAACCTTTGTTCTGTTGATGGTGTAAACTTAAGAAAATGCTGAAGATCTTAATTCCAGTTCAATCTAAAAGCATGCTGCTTGTAGCAAAAACATCTTCAGCAATACAGAAACCAGAGGGAATTGTCTTAGAGAATTTGACAGTTATGTCTGATCCAGTCATTCACTGACCCATAGGTAAGTTCTGTTTATTTCCCTTTCATCTCCCTAAGGTAAACAAATCAAGCAGCATTCACCTAGAACTACTCTTAAGTCAGCTGCAACTATCTATTAGGTATAGACACTAGACAGCAGCAGAACACTGAAGGCTCCTGGAAGATCAGTTGGCGAGGTGGACTTTGCAGTAGAGTATCGCATACTTTAATATTATTTGTAAATTGTGTGCTACAAGTCCTTTACTGCAGTGGCAATACTGTATGGTGAAGGAACGTGGGTGTGGCTGTGTGTCCCCTCAGCCCTGCAGAGCCAGCTGTTAAGCATTTACCAGCAGCACTGCATGACAGACAGGGAAAAGAAGAAACAGAACTGAGTCCTGGCCCAAGCTGGCACCCCAGGTCACAAGAACAATGAACTGGGCAAAGTCCCAGTGAAGGGTTAAGACAGCATGGAGAACTGGAGCAAGTGCACCAAGGATGGAGGGAGTGGCCACCAGCAACTCACACTGCTAAAGGCCCTGGATGGGGCAGAAGGGATACTGGACTCTGGGGCATTAGGAGGACTCAGCTCTGAAGCTGGTACACTTTGACATGTCCGGTCCACTTGCTAATGGGTGACTTGCTTCAGCTGGAAGGCTCACAGGCAGTGGAGACAAGATGGGGTGATGTGGATTATCAGGCATAGACTTTGCCGGTGCATGTGGCAGGCAGCTCCTTCTCACTTCTTTCTTGAGCAGATTGGGCTGGAAGCTGTGAGCCTAAGGACTGCAGAGGTAGGCTGGGGCTAAGAGATTGGTAGACTGGATGGGATGGAAACTGGGGGGTTGCTGGGGTGCAGGGCAGTGAAACAGCTCAGGCTTGGGGAATAGTTGTTAACCCAGTATGTTAAACTGATGGAAATAAAAGCCACAAGACTGTTGGTCCCTAAGAATTAGCTAAGAGGAGGGACTAAGTAAAGGGAGGAAGCTGGGAAAGGTTGCTCGAGAGCATCCCAGGTTATCTCTTGGTGTCTTCAGTGTGCAAGTGTCTTACACCTTGGCCATCCAGTGGTGAATCGAAGACTACTGCACTTGTAGATAATAAAAATGTAGTGCCCAATGCACTACCAAGAGGGCAGTTAAAGCTGGTCACTCATATGTTAATCCTAGCTACTTAAGAAGCAGAGGGAGGGAGGATCAAGGAATGAGGGCAGCCCGTGAGATCCTCAAGCAATAAAGTGGTCTAGAAAATGTGAAACTGTATTTGGTGAGAGAAAAGACAAGAAGGGACAAGAAGCTACAGAAATTGAGGCCTTGGGCTTTAGAAGCCACTGGAAAGTTCAAGCTCAGGGAGGGATGCAAACTGACTTGTTACAGAGGAATTACTTAAGCTGCTGTTAAAAAAGGCAAGCTAACTAGTGGTCCACCTCCTGGAACTAGGCTGCTTAGGCCCCTGTTATCAATAGAGTACAGATCAGGTGGCGGTCTGTGTCAGTACTGAGGCTTGAACTCAGAGCCTTCTGCGGTTGCTTGACTTATCTCAAGGCTGCTGCTCTACCAACTTGAGCTACATCTGTACTCCTGGGTTTTTCCTGGTAGAGAAAAGAACCTTTAGGCTTTATCTGCCTCAGGGCTGGCTTTGAACAGCAATCTTCAGTTCTCAACTTTCTGAGTAGTTAGGATTACAGGCTTGAGACAGTGGTACCAAGATCATGTTTTAAAAGAATTCTGTTGCTCCCATTTGGCTGCTGCTATCTTTGATCTTTCAGATTCGGGGAAGCCAGCTACTGTGCTGTGAGCTGCTCTGTGCAAAAGCTGATGCCTTCTGCCAATGGATGGCGCTGACGAGCTTGGACATAGATTCTGACGTCAAACTTTCAGGACCACAGCCTTCCTTAGCGGCAACTTTCAGAGCAAGCTAGCTCAGTAAGCTATTCCTAGATTCTTGACCTATAGAAACTTCAGTAGAGAAGTGGAGCTGTTGCTCAATGGTAGAGAGCAAAAAAGCTCAAGGACAGTGCCCAGGCCCTGAGTTAGAGCCCTATGACCAACACAAGAAAAACCAAACTGAAGTCATGTTTGTTTTAGCTACTGGGTTTAGGGTTGAGACCTTGCATACTTTTTAAAGGCAATTTTGGTTGGTATTTGGCCAGGAAAATGAGGTGATTGGTAGTGCCAAGTACCAGTGGGGAAATGGAGAAGGGCTTTGGATGTGGGTGGAAGAGGTGGCAAGTGCCCTTTGGATAGGCAAAGCATGCAAGTGGAGAGTTAGGAGGCAGGAACAAAAGCTTGAGTTCTAGGGACAAGCCAGCATTTGGACCATGTAAAGGCAGGAGTATGGCTGGGATCAGAGGCGAACACTGGTCCAGAAGAGACATCAGTGCATGACAGGTGAAAGGGACACCACCCCCAACCAGAAAACCAGTGAGGTACTTTTAGGGGGGGCAGGCCTCTCATTGAAAATGTTGATAAGATGGTACCCAAAGAAGAGCCGACAAGCTCTGTTTGGCAGTGGAGAAGGCTTGACTAGGGAAACAGTAAGACAAGTGCTGACTAGAATGGCAAAGAGAGGAAGTCAGGACAATGACTGGCTATTCTGTTAGGGATCTCTGCTGAAGATGATGATGATTGCTCAGAAGGGACAAGGGGTTAAAGATAGGTCTTATTTCTAAAGTGCCGATTCTCATGCCTTGCCTGAATGATGATAGGAATGATGCAGAAAGGCAAGCCAGGTATGTCCCCTTCATCTCCCATAACACAGAAGATTGAGGGAAGCCAACTTTTTTACATTGAAGTAGAGGTGCAGACTGGGAAATTCAACAGACTAATGATCTTCCTAGTCAGTTGGCATGAGCTGTGCATCCCTAGAGCCACAGGCATAGCCTTCCTCAGTGGGCAGCAGCCCTGGAAGAGAAATACCTGGGAGAATGCAGAGCAAGGCAAACATTATGCTAAGCCTATGTGTTCTTCTCCCCACCGCCTCACCACAGTACTTGGGATGGATCCCAAGGGCTTCATGCAGGTATGCTACCATGCCCCAAATCCTTTGGTTTATATTTAGACTGGGTCTCGCCAATTTTGACTGGGGTTGAATCTACAATCCACACATCCCTGCCACCATGTCCAGATATGACTCATCTTAAAGACAAATGACTTGATTTCATGAAGTGGACTTTATTGGGTAAAGTTAGTGTAAAAAAAACATTCAAATTCATAAAATTTAAATAAGACAGTAAAATTATACCTTGTAGCTATAGCAATCACAAATAAGGTAAAGGCTAAATTATTGCCTAAGCAAACACTATTCTGTCAGGCTTCTGCTGGGAGCCCAAAGCAGGAAACATGGCAATTATTACAAGTGAGCCCAATGATAAATTTGCATTTGAAGCTGGAAGAAAGGGGGAAAAAAAGCAAGTTTATTAATGGCCTGCGGCACAGCACATTAGTAATTGTAGCCATGCATTATAATTCCCATTTCATAAAGAGAGTAATCAGTTTTTCATGATACATTATGTTTTATTGTTTATATGGTTTATTCCTCAGAAGAGCTTTCTCGTAAATTCCTTCCATAGAGCCTGTTTCCCCAGGCTGCTCACCAGGGGGTCGCCTTGGTCATTTACTACCACACTGCAATCCCCACTTCTCAAACCTTCACCTCCTCTAGAAAACAAGTATCCAACTTAGTCAAGAGTATTAATTGCTAAGAAGTTAATGTGGCTTTCTCTTTGGTTATGATTTTTTTATACTTGAGCTTATAAAAATATAACTAGGAATATGCTTCTGATTTCTATGAAAGCATTTTTTGACCAATTTAAAATACAAACATTGTCCTTATAAAACTTATCACCTTGGTTCAAAAATCTGCCTTTTTCCCTGGGGAATCTAACATCAGTTCTCTACTTAGCAAATACACATGAGTGAAGAACAGCAACTAATCTTCAGGAGCCCCAAGGGGCGAGGGCAGGCCTAGATGCTCTCCATGGCTTTGAACTCACTAAGTGCCTGCACGGGGTTCACATGCTTCTTCTGAGATGCTCGCTTGATCTTGGTCTGTGTCTCATCCTGTTTTTCTCTCTTCACCAAGGGCTTCTTTTCAGGTGCCTTCATCTTCCACGACACAGCAGGAAGGTTGAGGGAAGCCATACCCTGAGATTTCTGGTATTTGGTAGAGGCCACATAGGATGCCTTCACTGTCTGCACCACAGCATTCATCAAGTTCTTGGCTGCTTGGATCAGAGACATAGCGCTGTCCACCTGTAAGATACAGATGAGGGTTGGTGAGGAGCCTGCCTTCAGGACTAGGGGCCTGAGCAACAGCCTTGTTAATGGAAACATCCTCATCTGGCACATAACTGAGTCTCCTCCTCCATGATGTAGCAGATTTAAGCAAATGGTGATACCAATTGCTTAGTATATAAATAAATATTTAAGTATTTTTTCAAGGAAATTCCACGAGATTACAAACTGTGGGACCTTGTAGAGTCCAATATATTGACAAAAGTGCCCACCCAGAACTGTGACTTGATCAACAGATTCAACGTAAGATAGTTTTGAGAAGGCCACTTATGTCTGCTTTGTAAATCTTTACAGGGTTCATTCCTCTCAGGGGAAGAAAAGCTAGCAAAGGAAGGATCAATCCTAGTAACAGCTGCAGCTGTCACCAATCATGACATGCTAAAAAGAGCTGTGATTCAGCATGAAGAAACAATTAGCCTGTTCCCTCCAGAGCCCAAGATGGACCTTTGGAGTATCTACCCAGCATTTCCCCCATTTGGAGCAGTTGAGTAAGTAGACAAGAGGCTACTTTCTTATAGATGCAGGTCAACACATTCCTACTGAGCACCTTTGTCACCGCAGATGCTTACCCCAGAGACGACAAGTTCTCCTCCAAGGTTTTGCACTTCAGCCTTGACTTTACTGCAGATGTTGAGCTGATGGCAGTAGAGGGAGATGCGCTGCAGGTAGGCTAGAAGGTCCTGCTTACAGGCTGAGTCCGGGCACTGTTGGGAGAACAAGCACTCAGGCCCGGCCCAGACAACCCTCTGTCCCCAGGGATATGTCTGAAAAGATCTGTGTTGCGCTAATATTCTTACTCTCAGAACCAAGGATAATGGAAATGAATAATTTGCTGAGGCTATCACATCTCTTGGCCACTCTGGAGATGGCTGCCAAGTCATGGAGCCCTGACTATGAATACTTTCTGAGCCCTACTGCCACTCTCACAAGTGTGACGAGAAATCACCTCAGACTAATAGCATGGAGAGGCCTGGGGCTCTGCAAGATAAGAAAAAGCCTTAGGAAGCAAGAGTCTGACTATGCAGAAAAGGCAGAATGTTTAGAGCTACATAAACTATCATCCTTGAGGCAGAAGAGCTATCTGCTCAGTTATGATGCATATGAAAAATACCTGAAAACAGGAAATACACACTTTAGGCAATGATGATGAACACATAAACCAAAGCAAGAAAAAAACACCTGGGGCTGGTGAGATCTTCATCACAAGTGAAAAGGGTAGTCTAGGCCTAGTCTTGTACTGCTGATGCCCACCAGTTTAGAAAGCTTTACTCAGACAAGTTCAGTATTGCCCCAGTGTTCACAACAATTCCCCTCCCACCCCTGTGCCAGGGAGACTAACAGTATGATATAAAATAGGGCTCTGAGTCCATTTTGAAGTTTTTGGATTATACTCTTAAGAAGCCAATGAAGCAGAGCCAGCCCAAGTCTGATTTGCATTTTATGAGGACTGTTGGCTGTGTGCTGAAGTGGAGATGGCGAAGCAGGAAACCAGGAGGGTAGCAGGGTGGGGATCTGGACTTGAGCTGTTTATTTCAGACAGGAAAATCCAGATAGTGTAAGTACATAGAGCTTCTTATGGAGCTCTGTGAATGGGGGGAGGGTGATCAAAACCACCACAGAGCCTGGCTTGAAAAATGATGAGATACAAGAGACAGCGGTCATTCATCCTTAAGCCTAGATAAGAACCTAGATAAATGTACAGAAAACCTGTAAGTGAGAAAGAGCTTCTCTGGCAACAAGTCTTAGAACATATAGGAAATGTGCTGTATAAAAGGTCTAGGAAGTAGAAAGTCAAGTTCTCTGACCTAACCATTTGAGGGTACGAAGATATGCTAAGATGTGGACGGCTATCCTTCACCTTGGACACACTACCAGCTTTTCTGAACACTGCCCAAAAGGGCTCTTGAAGAGGGACGCATGTATCTGGTTCCAGTACTAGGATTGGCAGAAGCAGCTCCTGCCCTGAGCTGAGGTAAGTTTTAAACACTTAACTAAGAGTGGGGAATTTCCACAAGTCTTATAAGGCCTGCAAAAATCATTTGGTCAAGATGACTGTCAGGTATGCATCTCAAATGGGTCTCATGGCTGTCCACAGCTGTCTGTCTATATTGATCGCTGTTATGACCTGTTGAATGATATAAATATCCAAATGGCCCTTAGAAAAAAGTTGACATACCTGTTCCAGATCTATGCTCTAATGCAAACTAGGTCTAGCAACTAAGATTAAGAACTCAGAAATTCATTGAAATTTATGCCAGAATTAAATAAGTAGGTTAAAGAACTTTTTAGAGATGAGTAATGGAAAGGTATGGCCCATGAAAAAGAATCATCATTCCAGCCGGGTGCCAGTGGCTTATGCCTATAATCCTAGCTACTTAGGAGGCTGAGACGTGAAGATCATGGTTTAAAGCCAGCCTGGGCAGGAAAGTCCATGAGATTGTTATCTCCAGTAAGCTACTCAGAAAAAGAGGGACATGTCACTGTGGCTCAAAGGGTAGAGAACTACCCTTGAACACAAAGAGGCTCAGCGACTGTGCCTAAGCACTGAGTTCAAATCCCAGGAATGCTCCCCCCCCCCCCCAAAAAAAAAAAGTCGCCATTTAGGCACCTCAGCAATGGACTGGGTTGCATGAGTCTAGGATGAGCTAAGACAACCAGGTAGATCTATTACTCACATGGTCAGCAATGGTTCGGCCTAGCTTATCCATCCTGGATCCAGCCTCAGCAATTTTCTTGGCAGCACTGATGACATCTGATGTATTTTTGAGTGGTCCTTTACCTCTGAAAAGAGAAAACAGCATCTCTAAGATGTCTATGGGGGAAGGAAGCTGCCCTTTCTCTCTTCACAGCCAGCTGGGGCCGAATTACCGGGTGAAGTCAGTCATCTCCATCATAATCATGCACATCTGCTTGGCTAGCACAATGATGTCGTTGCCACTGTCATCCCATTTGGACACTTCAGCATCCAGCTTGCTTTTTTCTTCCTGGAAACTGGCCACCTGTTCTGCAATCTTTGCTTTTTGCTCTTGGGGAAGCTGAGCCATGATTGCCTACAATCAAAAGGACAGAACACTCTTTACATAAAGAGAATAATATGAAGTTCTCACAGGGCATTAGCCAAGGATATTTCCAACAGGCAATCTATGACATAGGTAGGATAATTCTTTAATAGGTTTTATTTTGCCTGAAGGACTATTTATTCTAATTTTCACAGAAGTCTATGGCAGCCTGAATTCTCCACCCACTTTCAAGAACAAGTTTCAATGTGGAAGGGAACTGTGTGAAGGGTAGAAGGCTACATGCATGGAAGCTTCACAACCATATCTATGCAGAGACAGAGCAGGTCGGCTTTAGAAGTTTCATCCCTTGCCTTCTTGGTAAAGAAAATGAGAGGAGAATGTGTGTAGTCCTCTTCTCTGTGGGCTTGGAATGGACATTTCCAAAGCTTTAAAAGTACATCAGGAATAGTTTTAGAATCTAAATTTTAAACAAGAAAGACAAGCATTTACTAAGGGATATGTATTTTAGCTACTTGCGAGGCTTTAAGCACATTTAACTCCCACTGACCAATTTAAGGCCTGGGAAAAGGGCTCCACACTTTCGGCTCCTGACAGCAGGAAAACACTCACTGTTTAAGATGGATTTCCAAGGAATGAAAAAATAGACTCCTTAGAAATATATTTTGGCATCCTTCTGAAAACTTAAATGCTATGGATTGAAGATTTAATGACTCAAATGAATGCCATGTTTTTCTTGAATGTAACAGTTTGTTGTTTTTAATGCAAGGATAATTAAGTGGCTCATACCCATGGCATCAGTGAGATGGCAAAGGCAGTAAAGTTTCACCATTGTTTTAACAAATATTACACTGACTAAATCCTTAGCTTTTTTCAGACTCAGGGTTCTATCATAAACAAGAGCCCAGGAGGCCTATGTTCCTGTCCTGCTCCCAGCTGAAGAGCCTTTTGGAAAAATCTGCAACTGACCAGCAGATGCTACAACTTAACTTTGGTTAATGGTGCTGAGTACTTAACAGAATTGTCTTAGAAGAGGGCAAGCTTGACAGGGACAGGGAAGGTCGGCAGAAGAAATTAAAGTGCTTCCTTACCCGAGCACTCTGGCCAGCTATCAGTTGGTCATCCTCTGTTTGGACACTTGTCCTACTTCGGACATCAAAATCTTCTGTCTCAAAATCGGAGTCATCCAATTCTTCAGGAGTCTGCCATCAAGATAGAGATTATGAGTCAGAAACAGCGAGGCTTCAGCCATCCTCTCTAAGCCCCTTAACCAGAAGCATGGAGGCCCAGAATACTGAAATTTGATGTTCATCGTTCTGATCACTTATGGTTACTCAAAAATTGTTCATCCGTGTGTAAGCCCCACACTGGCACTTTTCAAAGAAGGCTTAAAAAGTACAAAGTTCAAGTGGCGCTGTAGCTCAAGTGGTAGAGCGCTCAGCTTGAGCTGAAGAGCTGAGGGACAGCACCCAGGCCCAGAGTTCAAGCCCTACGGCCGATCAAAAAAAAAAAAAAGTCTTCTTGCCAGGCGCTGGTGGCTCACGCCTGTAATCCTAGCTACTCAGGAGGCTGAGATCTGAGGATCTTGGTTCAAAGCCAGCCCGGGCAGGAGAGACCGTAGACTCCTATCTCCAATAAACCACCAGAAAACCGGAAGTGGCGCTGTAGCTCAAGTGGTAGAGCGCTTGCCTTGAGCTGAAGAGCTGAGGTACAGCGCCCAGGCCCAGAGTTCAAGCCTCACAACCAACAAAAAAAGAAAAAAAAAAGTACAAAGTTCAGCTGGATCACAAGTAAAAATGACAGGAAATACAGATTCAAGCCTTGCACTTACTAGGCAGGTGCTGTACAATTTGAGCCACTCTGCCAGTCCAAAGATTTCACTTTCTAAACGTACGTCACTAACACCTAAAGATAAAGGTCAGAGCTATCCTTGGAAACAAAGGTCTTATGGGGCTGGCAGAATAGCTCAAATAGTAAAGTGCCTGCCTAGTAAGTACAAGGCTCTGAGTTCAAACACCAGGGGGAGGAGGTCTGTCTTAGGAGTGTTTTATACAGCATTAAGCAGACATGACTTCTCTATTTTATGATAAAATTGCTTTCTCTTAGGGCGAGAAAGTCTGCAACAGAGTCTACAGGGTAGTTTTAACATTTATCAATGGAAAGAGAAAGAATGCAGCATGTAAGAGTTTAGTAAATATCGAAGGGGCTTACTCATTCTAGGTTTTTGCTTTAATTATGAAATAATATTCTTAAGTACCAGCCTCTTGTGATTAACTGACTTGAAACCTAATGTCATCTTCTGGCAGTTGTCAGTAAAGGGGCAGTAGGAAGAACAGCTGGGGTTGGCTCTCAGCCTGGCTAGCTGTCCAGTGACAGGAGAGCAGTGAGGCAAGGCCCTCAGCCAAGCCCAGGGGCCCATTGTGAGGTTCAAATAAGTGGGCATGTGAGCAGCTCTCAAACTGCCAAGAGTGTCTTGGGTTCTGACATGTGCAAAGGCTGGGCCTATCCTAGATGAGATGATAGGAGAGTGGTGGTATGGAGGTGTCAAGGAGCCACAGAGAGCATGTTACTGTGAGACCATGGAATGTTGCTAATAGTGCAAAAGATGTTGCCACCACTGGTGATTTTAATGATACACTGAAACTAATGAGCACCTCTCCACTGCCCATCATAGATCCAAGGATTGTGGTTCAAAGCCAGCCCGGGCAAGAAACTGTGAGGCTCTTATCTCCAATAAACCACTAGAAAACCAGACGTGGCGCTGTGGCTCAAGCAGTAGAGCACTCACCTTGAGCTGAAGAGCCCAGGCCCAGAGTTCAAGCCCCACGACTGACTCCTCCCCCCCCCCCCCAAAAAAAGCACACTACTTTCTTAAAAAAAATTCATTCACTCATTTAAGTATTTGTTAAGCATGTACTTATTAATAAGCACTGCTCTGAACTCCTGAAATGCCAAGTGACTGATGCAAAGATCACTGCTCTCATACATATTCTGACATGCTAAAAAAGTGACCAATGCTATTAAAAAAAGAACCAGAAAGGGGTCTGAGTGGCGGTGTGGGGTGGGAATGTAAGGGGAGGCACAGAGGAAGCAGGGGAGGAGTGCCTGCCTGAGGAAAGGGAGTAGCATAAAGGCTACACAAGAAGAACTTGGCTCATTATCTTCTGTCACAGGCTCAGGTTGGCCCTGAGTGACACGAGCACCTTTGGAGAGTTGGGGAGCAGTGACTGAAGCTTGGGGACCACTCTGGCTGCTCTGAGATAAAAAGACTACAGGGACTCAGGACTGGGAATATGGAGAACAGAGGTAATTGCCGGAAGCTTGGACCAAAGTGGGAATGTGTTTAGATGGTCTCAGGAAGGTAGAGGCAGTGAAACTTGCGAATTAAAGTATGCAATAGGAAAAAATGGAAGGAGTCCAAGGTTTAGGACTTAGCAAGAGAAGATGAATTACTATCAACTGATACATGAATGAAGTTTGAGTAGAGAAGTTGGGAGCTCAGCATGAACAAAGGCACTTGGCAAAATTGGATATAGATATATGAAACTTCAGAGTTAGCCTCTAGATATAATTATTTAAAAAACCTATTTAAAATGTGGTATATATACAGTGTAATGGGTTTCACTCATCCATTAGAAGGAGTGATATTTAAAAAGAAATGGAGAGACTTGAAAAAGATGAAGTCAGAGCCAGAGAGATCAAGGTTGCATGTTTTCCTTCATCTGTAGAGGTTAGAATTAGCTTACAAATTAGATAAATATATTAGGTGGTATGCAAGTATATACAAATGTATTAACTGAAATGTGGTAGATTCAAGAACTCAAATAGTATAATTCCTTAGAAAGGCAAAAATCAAGGTTCAACAAAATGAACAACAGGAAACTGGTACTTGAAAGGGTGAGGTAGGTCATGAGGAGAGGGGCACGTAGACAAGAAGGGCTGGGAGATTGGAGTCAAGAACTCAGTGTAGGGCTGGGAAGGACCTCGCATGCCTGAGGGCCTGGGTTTGATTCCTCAGCACTACATAAAGTGGAAGCGGGGCTGTGACAAGGATGTCCATAGCGCTAGAAGACAGGTGCATATGCAATGGAGAAATGAGCACTCTAAATATCTCTATTTATGGTGGAATTGGTAATAAGGCCAGACAGGGAATTGGGACAATGTGGGACAGCTGAAAAGAATAGGAACGTATGAGTCACCAATTCCAGGATCAGAGTTAGGATGGTTACAGGGCACAAGGGCCTAGGGACAGCCCATGTCAGCAACCTCTATCAGGGTGGATGTGCTGATCTATTCTGTGCTCCATGGGAAAGCAGACCTGACTAAGCCTGCATTTTGAAGGAATGTATAAGAAAATGAGATAGTCAAAGCAAAGGACAAAGGGCTGAGAGTGACATGTGGAGAGGACCAACTAATTTAAGACAAAGGTGGACTCTGATGGTTAGGCCATTTCTATTAAGAGGAAATACTGGAAACAGATGATGATGGAAGTGGAGATACTGGCAGTGCTGGAGCTACAGAGGTGAGGTGGAAGGAAACAAAACATTAAGAAACATTAAGAAAGAGAGGCCCAGGGATTCGAAGGATGCTTTCTTAGAGAAGATAGGGAATAGCTTAAACTGTTAACACTTAGTCATGAACCAGGGAGCCTCACCAGCACTGCACAACCCCTAATCCTTATCCCAAATATACCAAGATTCTGAAATCCTGCCTTCCACTCCAGGAAGGAGTACATCTGTGAACAGTGACTTCCACCTGCATTAAGGAAAAAGCCTCTTTCTGAATCAACTCGTTTCCCTTCTAATTCACACTGAAGACTCACACTATGGTGACTGCCCTAAATAAATTCATCAAGGCGAATTTGTGCTTTTTCTGGACTAAACTTTGTGCTCTGACTTAAAATAACAGTCATTTTAGACAACATTATTAAATCTATCTTATTCTAACCGCGTTTAGGGTCATGTTTTTTATATACTGCCACCCCATCTGCTAAGTTTCAGAATGATGTATTGCTCAAGTTTAGCAAATGATAAGGAAGAAGCTGTTAAAATGTCTAGGATGCTGTTACTCACCCTTATCATCAACACTGCTTTCCTGATGTCCCGGATCCCATCATACACCAGGCGGGAAGCATCAATAAACTCGTTCTCATCCATTGGCTGGGCAGGGTCTGAGCTGAGAGCTTCTACAGCTGCTTCTACTTGCTCAGTGAAACGGGGCATGACTGCAGAAACAAGGAAGAGGGAGGGTAACACTAGCAGACAGCATGCCACCAACACCTCCCTGAATCCTTAGAAGAGGAAAGGCTCATGATAAAGATGTAAATACTTTTTTTTTCTTTTTTTTTGGTTTGTCATGGGTACTGTCCCACAGCACCACTTCTGGTTTTCTCAGTGGTTTATTGGAGATAAGAGTCTCACATACTTCCTGCCTGGGCTGACTTTGAACCATGATCCTCAGATCTCAGCCTCCTGAGTAGCTAGGATTATAGGCTTAAGCCACCAGCGCCTGGTGTGAACACAGTTCTTGAGTGCAGAAACTTACTGTGCTCACAGGTGAGGAAAACTAAGGGCAGTATTTTTACAGATTTATCATCTTCCCTCTCACCAGTCTACAACGTAGGGTTGCAAAGTTGAGAACTAACAATGACACTACCTTGAGGCTTTGCTATAGGCTCACCAATAGAGCATTTGGCTAGCATGCCTATGCAAGAGGCTTTGGGCTGGATGCTTAGCAGCAAAGGATAGGTAAAAATAAGAGGGAGAATAGAATCCATCTTAAATTAGTATTTACTCACTAAAAGGAGATTTAATCCAGCAGTTCATCTTAAATATGTGTTCAGAATTAATCCCATTCAAAGTGTTTGTGAGGCCTGACTTTAGCAGACCAATTTCATACAAGTATGACATACTACCCAGAACTGAATTCTGGTCTTCTCCTTCCTAACTACAGGTCATAGGAATTAGGGGAAAACACTAGGAAGGGAGTGAGTCCTCATACCTGTGTTGGAGAGCAGCTTGGTGGCTTCCAGGACCTTCTCTGTGTAGACTCCTGGCTCATAGTTATCCATCTCTGAGGTGACAACATGAATGACCCGAGCTGCTCGACCTCTTATTGCACCAGCTGTGCGGTCTAGCCCATCCACATCCTTCTCTTGGAGAGCAATGACACACTTATTCACATCTTCCAAAATGTGGTTCTCTAAAGAATAAACAAAAAGGTGAGTGAGGAAGGAGACCTTTCACTAACAGGTGGCCACTGACCCTGACAAATTATTGATTGTGTGTTTGGTGTCAACCACATAGTAATCCTAACACTCGGGAAGCTGAGGTGGAACCATAGTAAGTTCCAGGCTGTTTAGGCTATATAAAAGGGGTGTGTGTGTGTACCAGGAAATAGGAACTGAAAGGGGTGGAGTCCAGGGGAAAGGGGTAGATGGATGAATGAAGAGGAGAATGTTGGGAAGGATGTGTGAGAATGATGAAAGGGTGACAATGATGCTCGAGATGCGGTGTATTCACACAAACTACTTTGTTGAATGGAAGACAGGAACTCCTACCCTATTATTATTAAAGCCCTGCCCTCTTAGTTAACTACTCAGGACACATTCCTGAGCAAGCCTGTGACAGAATATTAGAAAACCATACCAGGTAGACTTCTAAATTTCAGATGAAAACACCACTTCTTCCTTAGAGAATAGTTTCATGTTTTCATTTGCTAGATAGAAACTGTCTAAACTCATATCCATCAAGTCAGCCCTTTCTTAAACTCATACATTTGCATAAAGATTGAACACACTTTAAAAAAGTGTATCTTCCAAAGAATTGATTTCTGTTTTATGCCATGCACCCTAAAGATAATGCCTAGATCCCACATAAAATGCTGCTGTGGAATCCCTTTTGTTCTCTGATTTGAAGAAAGCTGCACGAGAAACATTTGATTCTATTACATTTTACTTGGCTGAAGGATTGAAAATCCCTTGAGACCAAGCCTGAAATATACTCAACCCAATCTCAAAAAACTAGCTTTAGAAATATAGTATGGGGGGGGGGGGGGGGGGCGGGCGGATGGGAGCTTTGCATTTTGATTTCAGAATTTGTTTGCTTAAAAGTGTGTTATGAAGGTGGAATGTTTTCTCTAAGCCCATGAAAAAGAATAATTCAGCACTTCATTGGGAAAACAACAGAAGGCCAAGATTTCCCAAAAAAGCCATTGCTGCATTTTTGGCACCTACAAAAACGTGCTTGCAAATGTGTTTTAAAAAACAAAAAAAACACATCAGCACCTGCAATTTGGCAGTCTTGCAAACAACATGGCTTACACCCTCCTCCTTATCTCTGTCGGTAGTTTACAGATTGTCTCTTCTCCCAGTTTTCCAAGTAAAGCCAAAGCTGCCAATCCCAAGGAGAACATGCAAAGACAGGTAGACATTGGTATGCAGAACACACTGTCACCCTTATATAGGTCACTGCTGGAGACTATATTGTGCATATATTTAAGCCCTGCTTCTTTTTCAAGCCCCATGGCCACCCTCCCACATTTCTAGCCTGTGGTTCTCTGGGGTGCTGTGGTAGTTTCAGCCCTTAAACCATTGAATCTATACATAGCCACTCTACTCAGGAAGCCTGGCACTTCCAGACAGAAGCCATACAGCCAAGAACAGAGACCTGGTAAATGGAGAATGCATTTAATGTCATTCAATTCTAAGGAGATAGGATTGAAATTTATTTCTGTGATAAACACTGAATTGCATTTGACAGACATTTTCTATATGAATGTAATTTACTATGTCATTACTAGTTTATGTTTACATAATGAAATCAACTGTTTTTGTGAGGTGAATTACCCAGATTTATTTTTTCCAAGTTCATAATTAAATGGCTCTTAAATATTTCCTCTCTGTTTTCTATCTATGCTAGATCAGTCAGTCACTGATCATGCATCACACAGTCAGTCTTTGGAGAAGTAGGCAGCTCAACAGGGACTATTTGGAAAAACAGGGACTATTTTGGAAAAAGAAGATGCTTTCCAAGAAAGGAAAAAATTATTTTCAAAAACAACTAAAGGACTAGGGGTTGTGGCTCAAATGGTACAGCACCTGTCTAGCAACCTCACAGCTCTAAGTTTTAACCCCAGTGGGAGGGAAGAGCAAAAGCAAAATGGTAGTATGTTAAGTTCCTTTTCAGATTCACAAGTTTTAAACAAATTAGCCCTACTGAGATGGAAAGGGCTATAACTCATGCCCTACTGCTCAGAATGTAGAGGTAACTTTTTCCTTTAAAAATTAAACCATAGCAAAGTGCCCAAACATGGAGGTATTTGCATGTGGCTGAAACTCAGACTATAGTAACTATAAACATTCTTACATACTAATCTGGAAACCAGTTCATTACCTGAAACAGCTAAGAAGTCATCAATGGAAGTAATGTCATCAACAGCATCTGTGAGAACACGGACTTGTTTCTCCCACTGTTCTTTAAAAAGATCCATGTTTTCCTGGGCCAGTTTACTTTGTGGTTTTGCTGCTAAAGCCAATGCAGCATTGATAACCTGCAAAAAGTATTAAAGTTTATTGTTTACTTTTTTTTACAGACTGGCAGTGGCTTAGTGTTACACATATTTCACTAGTAAAAATGATATCACATAACATAATGGTATGTTAAAGCCCAAGTAGTAGGTTTTGTAAGGGGTATGTGGGTATGTGTGTGTGTGTGTGTGTGTGCGTGCATGCGTGTGTGTGTGTGTGTGTGTGTGTGTGTGTCCTGGGACTTGAACTCAGGGCTTGGGTGCTGTCTTTGAGTTTTTTGCTCAAGGCTAGCACTCTTAACTCGAGCTACAGCACAGCTCTACGTCCAGGTTTTCAGTGGCTAATTAGAGATAAAAGAATCTCACAGACTTTTCTGCTGGCTTCAAATCTTGAGATCTCAGCCTTCTAAGAAGCTAGAATGACAGGTGTGAGCCACCAGCGCCCAGTTCAAAGTAATCATTTATTTGGATAATATAGGCAATTATAAAACAAACTTTAAATTCTAATCATGCTACAGTTGACATTAATTTCCAAGATTTCTTTTCCCTTCATCATAAAAGTATAAGCGGGTCAAAAACTATAAACTAGGGGCTGGGAAGGTGGCTCAGTGGTAGAGCGCTTGCCTTGCATGCCTGAGGCCCTGGGTTCAATTCCTCAGCACCACATAAGCAAAAAGAAAAAGAAAAAAGCCGGAAGTGGCGCTGTGGCTCAAGTGGTAGAGCGCTAGCCTTGAGCTGAAGAGCTGAGGGACAGCGCCCAAGTCCAGAGTTCAGGCCCCACGACCGGACCAAAAAACAAAAAAAATTATAAACTAGAATTCCATGCTAAATAAAATCAACTATCCTGCTTCTTTTAAATATTCTTACACATAAATATATATTAAAATATTAACTGCTTATTATTCCCCTTTAGAAGCATACTGTGTTAATCTCCTATTGTAGGATACCCAAGATTGTTTCAGTTACTCATCACTAGTTGTGATGAAACCTTTGACTTTTAAGTTTTGAGTTGAGATGGGGGGTAATAAATTTATTAAATACATTTATTTTTTGTTTTTTCAAATTTAGTTATGAAGGTGATGTAGAGGGGTTACAGTTACACAAGTGTAAGTAATATACATAAATGTACATATGTATGTTTCTTATCAAACATTGTTACACCTTCCCTCGTTTTTCTCCCACTTTCCTTCTCCCCAGTCTACTCCCCCAAGTTGTAAAGTTCATTTCCAAAATGTTAGTCTTGTGAGTATCACTGTTGCATTGGTTCTCCCTTTGTCCTTTGCAAATAATTGTCTATAAAAGTCTCTATTTCCAAATAGCAATGGAAGAAGTTAATTTATAGTTTTTTCCATATTACATCTGCATTTAAATACATGTGGCAGATAAAATATATAGTGTTATAGGGTTAAGTAAACCAGTAAGAAGAATGCCAAAATACCAATAGAAAAACAATTTAAGACCTAGAAGGCTGACCTAACTAAAGTGAAGCAGAAATGACTAGCGAACAACTGGGGAGGAGGGGAGGTTACTATTTCTGTTCTTCAAATTTGAAGAGTCAGGGGCTGGGAAGGTGGCTCAGTGGTAGAGTGTTTGCCTTGCATGCATGAGGCCCTGGGTTCAATTCCTCATCACCACATAAGCAGAAAAAGCCACAAGTGGTGCTGTGGCTCAAGTGCTTAAGGCTGAGGGACAGCGCCCAGGCCCAGAGTTCAGGACCCATAACAAACTGGAGGCAGTCTCAAATTGAAATTCTCCTACTTTTTGCCTAGCTGGGATAACAGGCATGTGCCACCAAGCTGGGTTGTTTATTGAGATGGATTCTCATAAACATTTTTGGTCTGGGTTGGCCTTGAGTCACTATGCTCCTAATCTCTGCCTCCTGACACTACATGAGCCAACCAGGTCCACCATAGAAGGCAATCTTAAAAATTCTATGGGCTAGTGTTTCCAATACAAAGTGGCTTACAAATGGCAAGCACATCATCTTTGTCTTACTAGTATTTTTTTTTTGGGCGGGGGGGGCGGAGAGGGGGTACTAGTTAGGTAGTTAGGTAGGTGCTCTACTGTTTATTCCACGACCTCTGCCCTTTTGTTTCCGGGAATGATTTTGTTTTTACCCAGGATAGGCCAGACTTCTACCGAACTCTTATTTAAGTTTCCTACGTATACTGGAATGAAGGTGACCACTAACTATCATGCTAGAGTTATTTTTTTGTTTTTGTGTCAGTACTAGGGCTTGAACTTCACAATGCTTGGTGCTTTACCACTCAAGTTATGCCCCTACTTCCAGTTTTTTGCTAGCTAACTGAAGGTAAGTCTCTTAACCAGGCTGTCTTTAAACTGACTCTCAGATCTTAGCCTCCCGAGTATCTGGGAGTGAGCCACCTGTACCTATCATGCCCAGCTTTTTATTGGTAGGAATGAGGTGTTGTGAAAATTTTGCCAAGGCTTGCCTCAAACTGTGACCCTCCCAATTTGCACCTCCTGAATAGCTGAGATTACAGGCATGCGCCACTAATACTGAGCTTTCTGATCCTAAGGGGGGGGGGGGGGGGAAATCCAATCTTTCACTATTAACTATGTTGTCTATTGATTTTCTCCCCTTTTTTTGAAACTTAAGACATTCTCTTTATTAGTTTGCAATCATGGAATTTATTATTACCTTATATTAGTTATACAGATGGAGACTTCTCTGTTACAAATCAATGCTACATGACTGTATTTATTCCAATTAATCTCATTCTCTTCTCTCCCTTCCCACTTTCCAAAATAATTTCAACACATTTCATGGTTCCATTTTCATAGTCAGAATTTCTATCAATCACATTCATAGTGGCTATACTTGTTTAGAATTCCCACCAATGGTGTACAGTGTGCTTTTGATTTGCATTTTATGGCTAAGGAAGTTGAACATTTCCCTATGTGTCTATTAGCCATTTCTATTTCTTCCTGTAGAACAGTCAGTTTGCTTGTTTATTATTAACTGGGTTATTTGTTCTCTTGCTGTTTAACTTTTTGAGTTCTTCATAAATTTAGCTGGTGAAGACTTCTCTCCTTCTACTTTCTCTTGATTCTGCTAATTTTTAGAATAATGCAAGGTGTACTCTTAGACTACCACCTCTCTTTTTTCTATGTTCTTTCTACTATGATCATTTCATCCATGAAACTGACATCCATTTGCCAAATATTCATACATGTCCCACTCAGACCTGTTATTGTAACTCCTAAGTCATTTCTAACTACATACCCAAAGCTAAATGGTATATCTCAGATATTTCAAATAATTGAATACAAAACAATGTAAAAATAATGATGAAAGGGGTAAATTGATCAATATGCACTGTACTCATAAGTTGACATGCTGAATTGAAACCCCTCTGTATAACTACTTAAAGAAAACCACTAAGCCAGGCACCAGCGGCTCACGCCTGTAATCCTAGCTACTCAGGAGGCTGAAATCTGAGGATCATGGTTCAAAGGCAGCCCAGGCAGGAAAGTCCATAAGACTCTTATCTCCAATAAACCATTAGAAAACTGGAAGTGGCGCTGTGGCTTAAGCTGTAGAGTGCTTGCCTTGAGCTGAAGAGCGCAAGGGCAGCGCCCAAACCCAGAGTTCAAGCCCCATGACTGACAAAAAAAAAGAAAGAAAGAAAACCACTAATGATTTCCTGTACAAAACTATACTTTCTGGGGTATCCTGTTAAATTCTTGATCATTCAAATTCAAATAAACACTACTGCTTCAGACAACAAGAGAACTAAATTTACTTAGTCTAGCTCTATCCCTTCAAGTCTTCAAATCTGCAAGTATGGTTTGGACACTAACACTCACTTCTCCTATGTCCATTTTAGTAGAAGAAGTCCTAAGAGAAAGAAATGAGGGTTTCCAATAGCAAACTCAACCCTGTGCATATGGCCTAATCACACATGGTTTACACACACCAGCATTTTCATTAGGCTGTACAGACTCTCCGTGTGATTTTTTGGTAGGCTTTAAGATCATTTATATAAATATTCTTGGTAGGTGTGATCAGCATATGTTACCATCTGTTTCTGCAGATATGTGGAAGCATTGTCACTTTTCAAGCATTTCAAAACCAAATGAAGAAACAAAGATATTAAAAGCAAAGATAAAGCAAGCCTGAGGAAAGAATGCTGAATCTTTAGATATCTGCTCTAAATTGATCTATGATTTGGTCATCCATAAACTTTATGGAGGTGTTGATTAAATCATTAAGTTTCTAGATAGCAATCAATCACTGGCAGATTTAATGACTGATTAAGCTGAGAAATGTTCCTCAGAAGATGAGGATTCATCATTGAACTAACCAATCTCACTAATATTAAGACAAATTTATTGGCAAAGTAACCTATCTTGAGTAGTGGGGGTGTTTATATGAAAAAGCAAAGTACAGGTATTACATATGTGTTCTGAGAATAGTGATAGAGGTAACAAAAATTTCATTTCATTCTCTCTGTTCAGTTCCTCTAGCTCTTGCTCCTTTTTGTCTGTGATCACTAACATCTAGTAGTACATGCAGAGAAAGGTTAATGTAAGTCCTCAGAGTGTTCTCTAAGCATTCTCTACTTGAAAAAAGATGGAAACTCAACCTCTTCCATTGAAATAACACCACTTAAGACTGTTGCGAAATTTGTGAGTGGGCACTAAAGGTGTGACTCAAGTGGCAGAGCACCAGCTAAGCAAATTGACTAAGTGCCAGGCCCTGAGCTCAAACTTAGTTTCCGGGGGAGGGGGTTAGGGGAGGGGGAAGATATGAGAGTCTCAGTAAGCACTTCCTCCTGGGAAACACCACTGGGTACTCAAAAAAGTGTTCCTTGTTGAGCTTTTTTTTTCTCCTTGGAGGGGGGGGGGGGGGTGTCCAGTAGTGGGGCCTGAACTCTGGGCCTGGGGGCTGTCCCTCAGCAATTCAGCTCAGGGCTAGCACTCTACCACTTGAGCTACAGCGCCACTTCCGGCTTTTTTCTTTTTGCTTATGTGGTGCTGAGGAATTGAACCCAGGGCCTCAGGCATGCAAGGCAAGCGCTCTACACTGAGCCACCTTCCCAGTCTCAACTTTTTTTTTTTTGTCAGTCGTGGGGTTTGAACTCTGGGCCTGGGTGCTGTAGTTCAGCTCTTCAGCTCAAGGTGAGCGCTCTACCACTTGAGCTACAGCGCCACTTCCAGTTTTCTGGTGGTTTACTGGAGATAAGAGTTTCATGGACTTTCCTGCCCAGGCTGGCTTTGAACCAAGATCCTCAGCATTCAGCCTCCTGAGTAGCTAGGATTATAGGCGTGAGCCACCGGCGCCCGGCTTTCTAATAACTTATATAAACCTACAAAAGTTAAGCTTCTACATTAGTAGCTGGCTGCATTAAGTTATTAATATTTGTTTTATAAGGCTTTAAACTAAGACCAGCTTTTTGTTTGTTTGTAGCAGTTCTGTGGCTTGAACTCTGGGCCTGGGCACTTTTTGTTCAAGGCTAGCACTTTACCATTTGAGCTACAGTACTACTTCTGAGTTTTTTTTGTGATTAATTGGGAAAGAATAGTCTCACGGACTTTCCTCCCCAGGCTGGCTTGAAACTGTAATCCTCAGATCTCAGTCTCTTTAGTAGCTAGAATTACAGGGATGAGCCACCAGCACCCAGCTAAGACTAGCTTTTGAATGTGGTTCCCTTAAAAAAAAAATCCAAATTCCAGTCACTAAGATTGTAGCATGTGAACAGCTGTTAAGAGTTTCATGAGAAAACCATCACAGTTCCAGTCTGTTAATATTGCCGGAGCTCACCCCTCCAGTGGGTGCCGACAGGCACATGGTGTGGTCAACTGCCATTCCTCACTTTCCAGGAAAAAAAGCTATCATGCATTTTTTTTCTTCCTTTTTTTTTTTTTGGGGGGGGGGGGGGGAGGAGGGGATTTTGTTTTGTGGTACTGGTTATTGAGCACCGGGCCTCATGCCTGTTCTACCACTAGTGCCACATTCACAGCGTAACAATAAACGTTTTTATAATTATTTTTCAAGATTTCAAGGAGAAACTGGGTACTGGTGGCTCGTACCTATAATCCTAGCTACTCAGGCCGCTGAGATCTGAGGACCAAGGTTCAAAGCCATCCTGTGCAGGAAAAGTCTGTGAGACTCTTCTTCCAATTAATCTCCAAAAAGTTGGAAGTAAAGTTGTAACTAAATGGTAGAATGCTAGCCTAGAGTAAAAAAACTCAAAGACAGGGCCCAGGCCCTCAGTCAAACCCCAGGACCAGCACTGAGTGCATACATGGGCATGCATGCACACACCAAGATTTCAAGGTGATCTCACTGTGACATTTCCATATATGCATATAATACTGTCTTTTTTAAGTGACAGCATAAACTTGCTAACTGTACGTTACCTGAGGGCAGAGGGCTTCTAACTGGCTTGCAGACATCCGAACAAGCTTTACGCCTTCTTCATTGTTTGAGATGGAACAGGCCAAATTGGCAACCTATAAAAGAAAATAAATAAATAAATCAAACAATCTCTGAGGATTGTCCATTTTGAATCCTAAGGAAAAGAGACATATACCCTCCCCGACCTCTGACCTTCCCAAAATATATGAGAGCACCTAAGGACCTTCACTTTTCACAATTATTTACGAGTACATTATTTTTAAACTGTTTTAAGCAAACTGTATGGGCTCATAACATGTATCATATTGTAGGTTGGTAGCAGAACCTATACTTACATGCTTTGCAGGTTTCACAGGGGCACTAACCTGCCTGAACAGAAACTTCTTAGAGGCTCACTAGCATAGACTGAGATACTAGGAGAATTAAAGAGAAACTTAGTACTTAAAGATGGATTTTGTAGCCTTTTTTTTTTTGGGTGGGGGGTAGGGGGTCAGTTGTGGGGCTTGCACTCTGGGCCTGAGTGCTGTCCCGGAGCTCTTCAGCTCAAGGCGAGCACTCTATCACTTGAGCCACAGCACCACTTTCCATTTTGTTTTGTTTTTTGGTTAATTGGAGATAAGAGTCTCACAGACTTTCCTGCCTGGGCTGGCTTTGAACAGTGATCCTCAGATCTCAGCCTCCTTGAGTAGCTAGGATTACTGGTGTGACCCACCAGCGCCTGATGCTACAGCTGTTCTTAAAGAAATCAAAAGTTACTACTTTCATTTGATATTTCATTTGAATACAAGTCAGTTTTTCAAATTAAAAAAAATGAACATGATGATGGATCCAATGCCATCCTAACCATGTAGGATTTATAAGGAGCTATTAACCCAGAACACCTGGGGGCCTGCTGACAACAAGAATCAGGAATTCTTCCTAAGACTTGAAAGTAATGAAATGCTCTATGTTGCGATTCCTCAGAACCTCATTCTGAGTGTACATGGCAGAGGTCATTCGGGTAAAGACAACCTTGGTGAATTTAGAGGCTGATATTTCTGTGGCCTCCATAGCAATGGATATATATAGGTTGCGTCCCAAACAACGGAAGACTGTTCTCAAATCTGTGATTCTGCCTTCCACCCTCTATCACTACTAACACAGCTAAACCCTTGTTTATTTTATTTTGGTGCCAGTAGGGTTTAAGACTGCTTATGTTTGGCACTCTACCACTTGAATCACACCTCAGGCCTGGCATTTTGCTGGCTACTTTGGAGACAGTCTCATAAACTTTTCTGCCTGGGGTTGGCTTCAAATGAGATCCTCTGATCTCAGCCACCGGATTAGCTAGAGTAACAGGTGTCACTCACCAATGCTCAACTATTGTTTTATTTCATTTTACAATCTTGTGAATCCTTACAATTGTCCAATAAAAAAAGTTTTCTATTAAGAAACAAATGATTATGTAAGAAATCTTTACTACAGATCAGACACATGAAGCTGGTATGTGGTTATGGCTAAAATGTCAGCCATCTTTTCTTTTTCTTGACACAAATCCCAAAAACAAAGTTTATGGAAGGCTTGCTTCAAAACAGTACTTAAAAAATGTTTTTTGATGTACTGTTAAAGCAGTAATGCTCCAGAAAAACACAGTGCTCATTTCAAAAGGCCTGTGCAGAGGAAGCAGCACCTGCCACGGACACCCCTCCGGAGGAATGACTTTCCACTCACCCTCCAGGGTCAGGGCTACTCACTGTAACAATGACAAATATGCAGATGCAGCAACTGAGAGGCCAACTTCATATACTATTTAGTGCCAGGACTGAATATAGTGAAAGGAGGGGCATGAGGGGAGAGACCTCTTTTTTTTTGTGGATTTTACCATATATTGTTATTATGGTGTTTACCCTCATAACTCATCAACAGCTTTAAGTGTACATTACAATTGTTAACTATAGTTTTTTTTTAATTATTATTACTAAGGTCATGTACAGAGGGGTTGTCTTTTCCTAAGTCAGATAATGCATACTCTTTGGGGGAAGAGGGGTAGTGTCTCCTGAGAGGCTTCTTAAACTACCTCTTTCTGGGGAAATTTGGTAATCTGGAAATCTAAAATAACAGTTAATATTGTGACTAAAAAGAGTGGTAAGTCTGAGCCCAGTGTAATACCACAAACCTGTAATCCCAGAATTTGGGATGCTAGAGTGTTCCAGGCCAGTAAGGGAATACACAATGAAACCTTATCACAAAGCATCAGACAAACCCAAGAGTACGTGAATCTGAATTCAAAATACTTTGTCACACTTAGATACCAGAGAACCTAGCCAAGTCTACATTTTATGAGAGTGCTTTGGACAATTTGGTCCTGAGAATAAATTATTACATCTTGTTAACACTGATTGCTGCTGACTGCAGTTGAACTTAAGACTCTGAGCTGGGCGCTGGTGGCTCACGCCTGTAATCCTAGCTACTCAGGAGGCTGAGATCTGAGGATCGTGGTTCAAAGCCAGCCCGGGTAAGAGAGACTGTGAGACTCCTATCTCCAATAAACCACCAGAAAACCGGAAGTGGCACTGTAGCTCAAGTGGTAGAGCGCTTGCCTTGAGCTGAAGAGCTGAGGGACAGTGCCCAGGCCCAGAGTTCAAGCCCCACGACCGACAAAAAAAAAGAAAGAAAGAAAAGACTCTGAAAATCTGTAAAGCCCTGAAAAAGTTAGCCTTTTAGGTTTATTAATTTTAGAAAGAGCCAAGTAAAAGGAAAAGACTGTCAAAGTCACAAATGTTCTATATTTATTCCATAATAAATTACCTTTAACTAAAATAATGTGAATTTTGTTGTTGGTCCCCCCTCCTTTTCTGATGCTGTACCAGGAATTAAATTCAGGGCTTCATGCTGTCTCAGTTGGCTTTTTACTCATTCCCTCCCTCCTAACATTTTACTTACCTTACATTAGTGGAGTGGGAGGAGACGTCACTGTTGTATTTCCATACATGCTTACAATACATTCAATCTCACCCCATAAATCACTCCCTTCCCCAAAACATTTTAACAGGTTTTATTGTTTTCATAATTGTAAACAATCTATTTCAATCATACTCATCTTCTTTCATCCTCATTAACCAACCCCTTTCTCCTGCTAGCACCCTCCTCCTTGCCACAAACCTGTTTCTGTTCTCCCATCCTCCACACCACTACTGATCCTAACAACTTTCATGCAGGTTATACTGTTTTCTCATGCGCACGCACGCACGCACGCACACACACACACACACAGCTGTTTTCTCATGTATACACACACACACACAATTTCAAAATTATTCATTTCCCTTCCCTCTTTCTCTTCTAAGTAGTTCCTCACACACATTATATACACATCCACACTTATATACGTACACATACACACACGCACGCACGTACACACACATGTCCATTTTGAGATCTTCCTAACCATTACTCCCCAAATCACAGGGGAAAAAGTGAATAAAAAAAGATTAAGCCTCCAGAGCTATTTAATTTCCAGGGAAGACCACTGGTGATTTCACTAGGAGGAACAAGCATTCTAAGAGTCTTAGTTGCCTAAGAAGGAGGAAAAGATAATGACAATCCAAACTGTAATTTAAAATTCATTTTATTATTATATTTTACTAATAAAATAGCAAGTCTGTGAACAACCTAAACTAAAAACGAGGAAAAATATAGAAGGAGACAGACTACTCATCAATCTAAAAGAGAAGATTGTTAGAAAAGGAGAATAAAGATGGAAGATGAAGCTAGAAAAAAAATTTTTTTATGAAGTGGTAAAATGAATCCACATGTCAGTAATGCCAATGAAGCCCTCAAGTCTTTACTCTTCCCAGTTCTGTCACAGGTAACCTGAAGGCCACATGTACATTAACACCCACCACATCATAGCTGTCTGGGTGGCAATCAAACATTAGTATCTTGCCTTTTTGGGGGGTACTTTTTATATTATTATTGTTGAGGATTCTTACACCAAAGCCAGCATAAGTTTTTCTACACTTCCTCTTATAATAAACTGATTTCCTTGGGGAGAAGGGAAATGTTCATGTGTTGTTTTGTTTCAATCCTGAACACAACAATTACACAACTGATTATGTTTTGTTTCCCTCCAAACTCCCCCCACTCTACCACTACTTGTAGTTCAGTGTGAAATACAAACTCATGCCAGGAAACTAAGCTAACAATTTTCTACAATTTTTTTCTTAGTCGTAATTTTCTACATCTCTCTTTATCATGCATGTTCTTATTCAAAATAAACCATACTAACCTAATTTTAGGAGAAGGTGCAATATCTATATATCTATACAGATATTTGTAGTTAGATATAAAACAGGATATGAAATAATTTGTTGAAATATTAAATTGTTTGGCTTTTTGGTAATTTTTTAAAGATTTTATTTGTAGATCACCATTTAAATGATCTTGTAATCACTTTTACTTAGATGGTTTTACATGAACCATTTTAAAAGCTCCCTAATCTCACAGTACTTCTACAGAAGATACCTATGTAAACATGAGTCCATCATTAGTCCTATTTCCTGATGAGAAAACAGGAGATCCAAGATTGGAAAAAGTGGTTTCTCAATCATTCTGACCATACTCCAAGAGAAAGATGAATCTTGAGGCCTCTGAGAATAAGTGCCTTTCCTGATCAGCTGCAAATTCAAGGTGGGGGAGCTTATCTGGGATAAAGCACATGTAAAATAAGTGTGTCTCAGCCGGGCCAGTGGCTCATGCATATAATCCTAGATACTCAGGAGGCTGAGATCTGAGAATCATGATTTGAAGCCAGCCAAGTCTGTGAGATGCTTATCTCTAAGCATCAAAAAAAGCTGAAAGTTGACCTGTGGTTAGATGATAGAGCACTAGCCTTGAGCACAAAAGCTCAGGGACAATGCCCAGGCCCTAAGTTCAACCCCAGGACTGGCATTTAAAACAACAACAACAAAAAAGTGTCTCATATAGCCCAATGCAGCTGAAGATATACCCCCTTGAAAAAGTAGGAAAGCCAAATTCAACATGCTTTGAATTGTCCTGAAGAATTCTTGACTCTCTTCTTTCAGTTATAGAAAACTAAGCATTTAATTTGCTATTT